TAGGACTGCACTTCTTGGTTTCTTTGAAGTTAGGTGGGGACATGTGACTTATTTGGCCAATGAGATAAGAGTGTTAGTAATGTGGGTCACTTCCAGCGGAAGCACTGAATTGCCAGTATGAGACAACACAGTGCTCTCTGGTCCTCTTCTATGGCGACTATGGAAGCACAGAGATTGAACTTCTGTTGGGCAGGGGCCATGAGTGATGATAGCAAGGAATACAGCCTATTACTGATGTGTGAGCGACATGAAGTGTGGGTGAGAAATAAACTGTTTTGTGTGCTAAGTCACTGATTTTGTGAGGTTATCATGGAAATAACATAGCATATCTGGACAAGTATAGGGAGAGACTATTACTATTCCCACGTTACAGAGGAGGAATGGGAGGCACAGAGCAGTTAAGAAATTTATCAAAGGTCACACAGGCAGGAAGGTGGAATCAACATTCATACCTAGATTTTTCTCCCTTGTAAATGATGCCTTTAACTACGCTATTCTTCGCTGCCTTCCAATTAGTTGTGGGAATTTATAGTTTCAGTGGAAAATGTTTGTACTTGTCATTTTTATTTTTTTATTTTTTTGAGATGGAGTCTCACTCTGTTGTTCAGGCTAGAGTGCAGTGGCACGATCTTGGCTCACCACAACCTCTGCCTCCAGGTTCAAGCAATTCTCCCGCCTCAGCCTCCCGAGTAGCTGGGATTACAGGCACACACCACCATGCCTGGCTAATTTTTATATTTTTAGTAGAGACAGGGTTTCACTATGTTGGCCAGGCTGGTCTTGAATGCCTGACCTCATGCTCTGCCCACCTCAGCCTCCCAAAGTGCTGGGATTATAGGCATGAGCCACAATGCCTGGCCTGTACTTGTCATTTTTAAAGCCATCTTCTTGAAAAATTCTTATCTTCTCTATGAAGGAATCATTGTGCAAAGTGATTTGATAGGTTTCCAAAACACGAATGACTTTTTTGGGGCAGGGTTCCCCACAGCCAGTGCCTATGGTTCTGCAGGCCTCCTTTCAGTAAGGGACCAGCCTTCCCAGTTTCCCAGATTCTTCTGTCCCTCTTTAATTGGTAAGATCCAGTGTCTGGTCTTGGGACCCAGGTCTGAAACCTGCACCTACACCTTCTCAGATTCCCACGTCCTTAGCTCAAGGACTTACCACTCTGCCTTTAAATATTCTCTTCATTTCTGACTTTATCAAGCCCCAAATGAAAGACCTTTTTGTTCAGGATAGTTGATTACTAGATACTATACATGCTACAGAAAATAGAAATACTGTGTAAAATGTAACAAAAATAGCAAAGGACATGACTGTTCATAAAATTAATAGGATTTAAATGGTTTAAGATATCAAAAACTATAGTGAAAAATAGGAAATTATGAAAAAAGAACCTACAGGCTTAAAAAACATGCACATAAGTCTTTTAGCAATGAAAATTATCATTACATTAAAAATGCGATAAATAGATTAAATAGCAGATGGGATATAGTTAAGGAAAAAATTAGTAAACTGGAAAGTAGATTTGAGAACATTAACCAGAAAAGGGGTTAAGAGATATACAGGAAAAAATGGTAAGTTCTCATTTTAGGTTGTTAGAAGGATAGATTAGAAAGAATGATGGGAATGGCCAGGTGCGGTGGCTCATGCCTGTAATCCCAGCACTTTGGGAGGCCGAGGTGGGCAGATCAGTTTGAGACCTGCCTGACCTATATGGTGAAACCTCATTTCTACTAAAAATACAAAAAAATAGCTGAATATGGTGGCACACAACTGTAGTCCCACCTACTTGGGGGACTGAGGCAGGAGAATAGCTTGAACCTGGGAGGGAGGTGGAGGTTATAGTGAGCAGACATCGTGCCACTGCACTCCAGCCTGGGTGACAGAGTGAGCCTCTATCTCCAAAAAAAAAAAAAAAAAAAAAAAAAAAGAAAAAAAAAGAAAGGAAGGAAGGAAGGAAGTGGGGAAGTTGAAGAGATTATATCTGAGAATGTATCAGAAATTGTAGAAGATATAAGTATTTTTTATTTTATTTTATTTGACTACTTATTTTAAAGTAGATTCCTTGGCCAGATTTATGATTGAAATAAGACACTGTTCCCCAAATAGTAAAAGAAATAAGCTGCTCATTTGCAAATTCTGCCTTGATGAGGATTATTTTTATAATTATGTGTCTACTTTATTGAAGTCCAATAGGATTATTTGTGAAACAAAATAAAATAGCTGTACTCAGGCATAAAGATTATGAGAACGAGGAGGTCATATATGTAAAGCTATTGTTCCAACCTGTGTTGTGCATAGGGATCACAAGATGAACTAGTAAAAATGCAGATGGCTATCTCTTACTCTGAAATCACTAGATTCAGTCAGTCTGCCCCAGCAATTTGCGCCTTTTCTAAGCACCAGCCCAGTTTATTTGATGCAGGATCATCCTTGAACCTCCCTATAAGAAACATGGTTCTAGGCCATGCTTGCATTCAGTGTTGTATTGCTTTGAATCTTGTTGCTTAGGTAAGAAAATATTGGCTCTGGTGTACAGGGACTGCCCATCCTCTCAAAGCCAAGTCATTTCCTGAGATAGGCTTTAATATCAAAAAAAACTTTGAAGTCCATTGTTTGATAACTTTACCTTTTTAACCAAAAGAGGAAATAAAATTAACCTCACAGCATTTGAAAAAAAGAAGTTAGTTTTAGTAAAACAGTAAAAAGAAATCACGATGACAGATTTACTGATTTGTTCACTTGACAAAAACAAAGGTTTTCATAATTCACTGGCCAATTTAGTAGGGTTTTAGAATTGATTTAGAATTATATTTAAACTTGACTTCTACCATGTAGACAAAACTCTTGAAGGATGGAGATAGCCTGGTATAACAGAATGAGCACAGATATTCCTGTCAGAAGACCTGGGTTTGAATCTTGGTTCTGTCAATCCAGCCATGTGACATTAACATAGAGTCTAAGCTATGATAACATTAATATACATTATCATAGCTTGGAGATATTTCTTTTTATCAGCCAGGACATCATTCAACCCATCTTCCATGAAATATTTAACTTCCATCAGTACTAATATGCCAACCAATGTAGGATTTCCACCCAGCCGTCATTGACACTCCCCAACTAGCCCCTTAGGAAAGGACTGTCACCATTATAATGGTGATAATGTATCACCACTAGTGATAATGTACCTAACTTGCTTAGCCCAATTATTAGCATTATTTATAATTATTCCTATTGTTATTTATCTTCTCTTCCCCTTAATCAATACGATGGAGAACATGATGGTGTTCACCCCTAAATTTGTTGTGAGGATTTTTAAATTAGATAATTAACAGGCTACACATTTAGTGCTTATGATGTGCTACTATCTTAACATGCATTAACTCATTTGATCTTCACAACACCCTCTGAGTTTCTCCCCATTTTACAGATGAAGAAGCTGAGGCACAGAGATGAAAAGCACATTACCCAAGGTCACACAGTTATAAGGGGTGAAACTGGACTATTGTAGGTGAAGAGCTCAGTCTGGTACCTGGCACACAGTAGATCTTAATCATGGACAGCATTGGTGGTGTTGTGTGTAGAGAGAACCTTTCCTAAGGGGCTGTCTTCGGAGTGTGAATGACGGCTGGGTGGAAACCCACGTTGGTAGGCACATTTATACTGATGGAAGTTAATTCTTTAACGGAAGATGGGTTGAGTGATGTCTTGGCTGACAAAAAAGAAAAAAAAAATCTCCAAGCTATCAGCTGCAAATGAGGGTGGACATATATTTAAATAGGCATTGGGCCCAATTCATCCCATGTGGTCCCCAAATTAATAATATCTATAAATAATTGTCATACTTAGAAATGTTTCCTTTCAGTCCTCAGAGAATGATTATGCTGCAAAGATGCAGTTCTTAAGACTGGGTGGAAAAAAAAAACCCTTCTCTTATATACACTTATATTCTGATGGGCCAGCAGTAGATGCAATAAAGGCAGTGATATTTAAGTTGATCAGGGACAGATGTTTAACATATTTTATGTAAGAATTGTAGACAAAGTTAGCTGCCAAAACAGACTGTTTCTTGAAACAGTGGACAGATGGAACCAACAAGATAAACTCCTAAGGAGTCTGAACTTTTCAAAGTGACCCTAATTTAAAAATAATAATAATTAGTCTTGATCAAAGCACTTCAGTGATGTTCAATTCTTTTGTCTCTGTACTTTGTTCACTTTGTCATCGCTACAAAGGTATTTGGGATGTAAAATTTCTTTCTCTCTCTGTATGTGTATGTGTATGTGTATGTGTCACACATGTGTGAGTATTCCTGGTTTCAAAAACACACTTTGTTTTATTCTCTATCATTCACTGTGGGAAATAGTGTGCTGTGCACATTGTTGGCTGTCTCCCCAGCATCTGCTCCCCTCCCCTCTTTCCAACAGCCCTTTATTTCCATTTGGGGATCTGTGGTCAAGGGAGGCTGGTTCCATGCCCAACTCCATATCTTGTCACTACTGTGTTCCAAGGCCTCCTCTTGATCCCTTTCCTATACAGAGTGAAACAGCAGTTTCCAATGGGCTGTGAGGCCCAACACCATCTGGTCCTATGCTGCCCTGACCTTGTCTCCCACAGCTTTCCCAGTCTCTCACTCTGCTCCTTTAAACTGATGACCCCCTTGCTGTTTCTCAAGTATGCCAAGCAGGCTCCCATCTCTTCCTTTCTCTAGATCTTTTCGGTCAGGGGTCCCCAATCCCCAGGGTCACTGACCAGTATAGGTCCATGCACATGTGAGGGATCTACGTTGCACACTCCTTATGAGAATCTAATGCCTGATGATCTGTCACTGTCTCCCATCGCGGCCAGACGGGCCCCTCTAGTTGCAGGAAAACAAGCTCAGGGTTCCCACTGATTCTACATTATGGTGAGTTGTATGTATAAATATGCAATTATTTCATTATGTATTACAATGTAATAATAATAATAGAAATAAAGTGCCCAATAAATGCAATGCGCTTGAATCATCCCAAAATGATCCCTCACCCCTGGTCTGTGGGAAAATTGTCTTCCATGAAACCAGTCCCTGGGGCCAATAAGGTTGGGGACAACAGAGTTAGGGAACATTTCACTGAATCAAACAAGTGAAGACCTTGATTGAACTGAACAGTTTTGTCCAAATCCCTCATTTTCACATCACAGAAAAAACATTCCAATAAAACCAGATTAATTTCAAGCATTCATCATTTAATGTTTCAAGAGGAGTTTGCACCAACATTCTGCCCTGATAAGAATTTTAGAAGATGTGTATGAAGTCTTTTTTCTTGTGTTCATATAGAACAATGTGCAATTCAGTCATGGGGTGAAGGCTTTGTTGAAAGGAACTGAGAGAGTTATTTACTGGGAGGGATTTCAGTCTTGTTGCATTTACACAGCACTGGCTATTCTGCTGATAATCACTTAATGAAAACTTAAAAATGAAAACATTTGGAAAGTGTGCCAACCAATGCCTACCTTACCAGTTTCACTTTCTGGCTTGCATCAAGTAATTTTAATAAAGTATGTCAACCAGGGTCTTGAAATAATTCATGTTCTATAATCTGCCCCTGTCCACTGCTACAAGAGTTTTGGGAATAGGCCCATGAACTTAATAAAATACTTAAAATAACACTGCAGGAGACTTAAATCTTGATAATTATGCAAAGAGTTGTACTTCAGATGTATTATATGCTTCTAAAAGGATGCATTTTGCCTAGAATTCTGATGGTTGTACTTTAAAAGAGCTGTGGTTAACAGGGTCAAATTTAAATAGTTTCGATTCACAGATGACCCAAAACGAAATTCATGCAACTAACAGTTGGGAGGGATGGTGCTACCACTCTCTTGAGTTTGCCTTATAATGACTCTGTTTAATTTCCTGTTTTAAAGAAAGAACTTGAATGGAATTTCTTCTTAAGGGATTGTTTGGTTTAAACCTGATCCTCTCGAATGCTTTCCTAAATCCCTCCTTTGAGGATTTGGACTCTGGACTCACCTGAAAGTATCATTTCAGTTCTTGGATGAGAGACACACTCTTCATCATTCCAAAGCAATCCGAGAAAGTTCTTCTCAGCCACAAATGGCACCAGCAAGTGTACAAAGCACACTTTGTTCTGTGGAAAATGAAATTGCATTCTTAACAGTGCATCCTTGGGCTGAAATAGGAAGACCCTCCACCTGGACATTAATGCAAGTCAGAATCATTAACGTTCATAACAGTCCACACTGCTGTTTATTCATTTGATGTTCAATGTATCTGGGTCTCATTTAATTCAATAACATAATACCTACTTTCATTAGCAACTCCAACTTGGACTTCTTGCTATTCAATTCGGCTAGGAAAATGTGTATACAAACCAGAGAGTCTAAGCTCAAGGCCTTCATACTTCTTTTGCCATGGCAGTTTGTGGAGCAAAAGACCTCCCAGCCTATCCACCCAAGTTCTCTCCACTTTCCAGTGGAAAAATAATTCAGTGATAACAATAAAGATTCAGTGTCCAAGCAAATTCTTTTGGGATTATATGTACATCTGTTTTAGCAATGTAGGTAAGGATGACCCATTTTGAGTCACAACATGTGAGATGTGTGCAAGTTTAGTTATTGGAAAGTTACAGGCTAAACATACTGCTCATATGAATAGGAATTTCTTAACTGTGAGGTTAAGCAAACAATCCCAATGAACTTAATTAATAATTGTGAAGCTAAACCAAGATTAATTTCAGGTAAAAACAAAACAAAACAAAACAAACCACCACTAGGAGACACTGAAAATTGCAATCCAGTAAGATAGCAAAGTACGATGTATACCACCCCCAAAAGTGGTTCCAATGATCAGTTGAGCCCACATACACAGAAAGAGCTTCACAGCTCTGTGGAAATCTGCCTAGGAGACAGCTTTCTTAGTAGAATTCAGAATTAAGAGCCAAAGTAATCTTTTAGTTTCAATTAATGAATATCAAGTTTTAGGAATTCTGAATAACTCACTTAACAGGTTACTATTAAGTAGTCCTTAATCATATATAAAAGTTCATGGAATTACAAGTCATTCGTGCAGAAGACCTAAAAGAAATAACATGCATTTTAAGAAATTTAATGATTTATTTTTAAATCATTGTAGATTCACATGCAGCTGTAAGAAGTAGTACAGAGAGGTTCAGCGTACCTTGTACCCAATTTCCTTCAATGGTACTCTTTTGCAAAATTTTACTATTATATCACAACTATGAGATTGACATTGATACATTCAAGGTAGAGAACATTTCTACCAACTCAAGAATCCCTTATGCTGTCTTTTTATAGCCATACCCACTTCTCTCTTGTCCCTATCCTTTCCTTATCTACGGGCAACCAGAAATTTGATTTTCATTTTTATAATATTCTCAATCAAAGAATATTAAATAAGTGGAATGATATAGTATGCAACCTTTTGGAAAAGTGCTATATTGTTTTCCAGAGTGACAGTACCATTTTACATTCCCACCAGTAATGTTTGAGTGATTTAGTTTCTTTACATGCTTGTCAGTATTTGGTGTTGTCACTATTTTTTATTTTAGTTATTCTGATAGGTGGCCAGTGATAGCTTATTGTAGTTTTAATTTGTGTTTCCCTAGTGTCTGATGATGGTGATATCCTTGCATGTGTTTACTTGCCATCAGTATATCTTCTTCAGGGAAATGTCTATTTCTGTCTTTTGCCCATTTTCTAATTGGCTTGTTTGCTTTTTCTATTTGGGTTTTGATAATTCTTTTATAGTCTAGATACTAGACCTCTGTTAGATGGTGCTTTGCAAATATTTTCCCTCAGTTTGTTGCTTATCTTTTACAGGTATTTTGCAGAGTAAAAGTTTTTTAATTTTGGTGAAGTCCAATTTATCCTTTTTTAAAAATTCATGGATCATAATTTTGGTGTCAAGTCTAAGAATTCTTTGTCTAGCCATAGATCCCAAAGATTTTCTCCTCTTTGTGAAGTATTATTTTATAGATTAACATTTAAGTCTGTGATCCATTTCAAGTTAGTTTTTGTAGAAGGTATGGAGTTTAGGTTGAAGGTCAGTTTTTTGCCTATGGAAGTCCACCTCCTCCAGCACCATTTGTTGAAAAGGCCTTTTTTTTTTTTTTTTTTTTGAGACAGGATCCCACTCTGCTGCCTAGGCTGAAGTGCAGTGGTGTGAACACCACTCAATTCAGCCTTGACCTCCTAGGCTCAAGTGATCCTTCCACCTCAGCATCCCAAGTAGCTGGAGTCACAGGTGTGTGCCATCATGCCCAGCTAATTTATTTTTATTTTCATTTTTTGTAGAGACGAAGTCTCCTTGTGTTGATCAGGCTGGTCTCCAACTCCTAGGCTCAAGTGATCCTCCCACCTTAGCCTCCAAAGTGCTGGGATTATAGGAATGAGCCTGGGTCCATCTTTTCTCCACGGAATTGTTTTTATGCCTTTGTCAAAATCAGTTGGGTGTATTTGCATGGATTTATTTCTGGGTTCAGTATTCTGTCTCATTGATTTACACGTTTATTCCTTAGCCAATACTGCTCAGTTTTGATTACTGTAGCTATTTTGTAAGTTTTGAAATTGGGCAGATTGATTATTCTTACCTATTCTTTTTCAAAATTAGTTTAGCTATTCTAGTTTCTTTGTTCCTACATACAAATTTTAGAATAATCTTATCTATACCTACAAAACATGTGCTGAGGTTTTCAGGTTTTTGAGACAGGGTCTCACTCTGTTGCCAAGGCTGGAGTTCAGTGGTATAATCATTGGTCATGGCTTACTGCAGCTTTGGCTTCCCAGGCTAAAATGATCCTCCTAACTCAGCCTTCTGAGTAGCTAGGACTACAGGCAAGTGCCATTATGCCTGACTCATTAAAAAAAATTTTTTTTTTAGAGACAGGGTCTCACCATGTTGCCTAGGCTGGCTTTGAACTCTTGGGCTCAAGCAACCCCCTAGCGTTGGCCTCCCAGTGTGTTGGGATTACAGGCATGAGCCACTGTGCCTGACCTGGGCTGGGATTTTGACAGGAATTGCAATAAACCTGTATAATATTTGGGAAGAACTGACATATTTACTATGTTGAGCCTTTCATCCATGAATATAGTATGTCTCTTCATTTATTTAGATCTTTGCTTTCTTTCGTCAGCATTTGTATTTGTCAGCATATAAGTCCTATACATATTTTATACAGTTTTTTAATTTTTTTGTGGTTATAATTGGTATTATATTTTTAATTTCAATATTCATGTGTTCACTGCTAGTATATAGAAATGTAATTTTTTTTGGTATGTTTATCTTGTCTTCTGTGACCTTGCTAAACTCACTTCTTAGTGGTAGAAGTGTTTTGGTAGATTCTTTGAGATTTTCTTTCTTTTTTCTATTATTATTATTATTTTTTTGAGATGGAGTCTTGCTTTATTGCCCAGGCTGGAGTGCAGTTGTGTGATCTCAATTCACTGCAAATTCTGCCTCCTGGGTTCAAGCAATTCTCCTGCATCAGTCTTCTAAGTAGTGTGTGCCATCATGTCCAGTTAATTTTTGTATTTTTAGTAGAGATGGGGTTTCGCCATGTTGGCCAGGCTGGTCTCGAACTCCTGACCTTAGATGATCCACCTACCTTGGCCTCCCAAAGTGCTAGGATTATAGGCATAAGCCACTGTGCCTGGCCTCCTTGAGATTTTCTATGTAGACAATCATGTCATCTGCAAATAGAGACAGTTGTATTTCTTCCTTTCTAATCTTTGTTCCTTTCCTCCCATTACTATACTGGCTAGAAGTTAACAGTACAATGTTGAAAGAGTGATGAGAATGAGCATCCTTGTCTTGTTCTCAGTCTTAGGGAGAAAATACTCAGTCTTTCTCCATTAAGTATAATGCCAGCTGTACGTTTTTTTTTTGTAGATGCTCTTTAGCAAATTAAAGAGGTTCCTTCTACTCCTATTTTTCTGAGAATTTTTCTCATGATACATGTCAAAATTTGTCAAATCAAAGTATGTTCTTTAGTTTCCAAGTTTTGGAGATTTCCCCATGACCTTTCCTTTATTGATTTCTAATTTGATTTCATTGTGGTCATAGAACATACTTTGTATGACTTCAATTCTTTTAATTGTTGGTGTTTGTTTAATGGCCCAGGGTATACCTCATCTTGGTACATGTTCTGTGGGCACTTTTGTCAAATCCCTTTTTTGCCTCAATTGATATGATCATGTAATTTTTCTTCTTTAGCCTATTAATATTTCAGATTACAGTGATTGATTTTTGAATATTGAACCAACCTTGTATCTTGGGAATAAACCTCAACTTGGGAGTCACGTATGTTTTCTGAAACTTTTCCATTACAAATTCAATTCCTTTAAATTTTGGGTCTATTCAACTGATCTATTTCATATTGAGTGAGTTGTGATATTCTGTGTTTCTTGAGAACTGGGTCCATTTTATCTAAGTTGTCAAATTTGTGTGTGTAGAGTTGTTTGTAGTATTTACTTGTTATTCTTCTGATGTCAGCAAAATCTGTAGTGATATCCCCTGTTTCATTCCTGATATTAGTAATTTGTATCTTCTCAAGTCTTGCTCAAGGTTTGTCAATTTCATTCATGTTTTAAAAAAAAGCTCTTTTTTTGTTGATTTTTTCTTCACAGAAATGTTTTTCTGTTTTCAATTTTATTGACTCCTGCTCTTACCTTTATTATTTTCTTCCTTCTGCTTGCTTTGGGTTTATTTTGATTTTTCTAGGTTCTTTAGGTAGGAACTTAGATCGTTTGAGAAGTTTCTTCTTTATATACATGTAGTGTTATAAATTTCTCTTGGCATTGCTTAACTGTGTCGAACAAATTTTGATATGTTGTATTTTTCATTTTCATTCCATTCTCTGCATTTAAAAATTTCTCTTGGGACTCCCACTTTGACATTAGATTATTTAAAAGTATGTTCCTTAGTTTCCAAGTTTCGGAGATTTCCCTATTACCTTCTTTTACTGATTTCTAGTTTGATTTCATTGTGGTTAAAGAACATACTTTGTATTATTTTAATTATTTTAAGTGTGTTGGTGTTTGTTTTATGGTCCAGGTATATTACATCTTGGTATATGTTCTGCTGGAACTTGACAAAATATTTGCTCTGCTG